TGTTAGCAGCATGGTCCTGATAAGGAGTGTGGTTCTGTTAGAAGCGTGGTTCTTTTAGCAGTGTGGTCCTGTTAGCAGCATGGCCCTGTTAGCAGTGTGGTCCTGTTAGCAGCATGGTACTGTTAGCAGTGTGGTTTTGCTAGTAGCGTGGTCCTGTTAGAAGTGTGGTTCTGTTAGCAGCATGGTTCTCTTATCAGTGTGGTTCTGTTAGCAGCATGGACCTGTTAGCAGCATGGTCCCATTAGCAGTGTGGCCCTGTTAGTAGCGTGGTCCTGTTAGCAGCGTGGTCCTGTTAGCAGCATGGTACTGTTAGCAGCGTGGTCCTGTTAGAAGCGTGGTTCTTTTAGCAGCATGGTCCTTTTAGCAACGTGATCTTGTTAGCAGCGTGGTCCTGTTAGCAGTGCGGTTCTGTTAGCAGCATGGTCCTATCAGCAATGTGATCTTGTTAGCAACGTGGTCCTGTTAGCAGCGTAGTTTTATTAGCAGTGTGGTCTTGTTAGTAGCATGGTTCTGTTAGCAGCATGATGATAATAACGACCGCGGCAACGGACAATGACTGCCCTCCAGAAACGGTCCGGCAGACACAGAACATTTAAGTTTCCCTGCAGGACCGAACTGTTCCGTAGAGTTCGGTCCACAGATGCAAATTAGCTTTGGCTATAATCTGGTACAATGCATCAAAGGGTGACATTTATGTTTGAGTTGTACATTGTCCCTTTTTAAATAAAGTTAATTTGTTCCGATTACATGGTTTGACAAAAACAGCTACAGAACAGAATAAAAAATATTTTTTATTCTGTGCACAAACAACTTTTGTGCACAACACATTTTAAATTAGATCTGGAGGTAGGTGACGTTAAAGTGACACGCAGCAGCAGAGATTAGAACAAAACGAATGAGCAGAATGAATTTCACACAGAGGAATGGAACAGTCACGAGATGATCAGTTTAAAACTCTTGCATCACAGGCGGCGGGTGACAAGCATTTCTTCAACAAGTGACGTCTTTAAATCAAATGTGTAACTTTGTCTCGAATCGGAGGTTTAAAGTGTGTGACGCTGCCCTCTAGTGGATCATCAGCGGTTCTACGTTCTGTTAAACTGAGAATAAATGCATTCCTGCATGTAATCCCATAATCCTGAGGGGAAGTTCATGTCCAAAATGAGAAACTCCTCAATCATCTTCATCTTTTAGACCGTGTGAGTCAGATTCTCTCGCAGGTGAGGCGTAGTTTTTCCTTTGAACCGGAGCAGAGGCAGGTACGGTCACGAGACGACTCCCCGCCTGAGGTGGGAGCAGCGGAGAACCTCCTCGTGTCGTCTCCTCCTGTGATCAGGGCTCCTTCATTTGTTATCAGATCAGCGATACGATGAGAACAAGCGCCTCGTTCGTTCCAGTCAGATGAACGGCAGCTCAGGTGGAAAAAGACACAAACAGTCCTCGGATGAGTCACGTTTGTTGTTGCGCCGCACGGAAACTTTATGAACTCATCAGGACGTTCTGCACAAATCTGACCTGAGCGTGGTTTCAGTTTTACTCAGAAATACAAGAAGAAGTTTAAAGTGTCTAACGCCGACATTCCTCCCTGAAGCCCAACAGTCTGGGGCTTTTATTTTGTAGCAATCTAAGCTGACAAAATGGCCGACGCTGTGCTGAAGAAACTGTATTAAAGAGTGAAGAGAGCCAAGACTTGAGAAGAAAAATTAGGCTGCTGTTAACGGCTAGTTAGGGTCACCATGGTAACCATACGCCTGAGTTCAGCAGCACTCTTAATGGCAGACAGAAATGCAGAGCAGAAAGTAAACCTCAAAAAACTCCGTCTCTGTGCAAAGACTAAACAATTCTTGAACCGTGACTTTCAGAAGCTAGTCCAGTTGGTTTGTTTGTTAGTTTTAGTTGTAAAATGTCCTGTTATGAAAATATAAAAAATATCTGCATGTTGTTATTTTTTACTCGGAATGAGTCGTGTGAGCTCCGGTCAGAGGCCTGCAGGCCACAAAAACCAGAGCGTGTACCAGATATGATGGAGACATCAGTTTTGACTGGAAACATGAAAATGTTGAGCACAAAAATAATTAGAAGGTTAATTAGTGGAGATGGAAAACTCTTCACCTCCTCAGTCAGAAAACTGCCCTCTGAGTTGGGAGTTGAGTGTCGCCTCAAGTGAAAGAGTTGAACTATCGAGTTTTGTTCAGTGAGGGGAGAATGGAGCGTGAGATCAACAGATGGATCGGTGCATCTTCTGCAGTATTGTGGACTCTGTGCCGGTCCAGTGTGGTGAAGAGGGAGCTGAGCTTCAAGGAGAAGCTCTCTGTTTACCGCTCAGTTTACGTTCCTACCCTCACCTCTGGTCCTGAACTCTGGTAAGGATGGACCCTGGGCGCCTCCATAGGGAGGTCCTTTGGGCATGTCCAACTGGGAGGACCCCGAGACAGATCCAAGACACGCTGGAGAGATTCTGAGTCCTCCTAGAAGATCTGGAAGAGGTGACTGTGGAGACAGATGCTGGACCTTCCTGCTCAAGCTGCTGCCCCCGAAACCTGCGTCCAGAACAAGACGATGGATGACAGAAAATCTTTAGCTGAGTCCTTCTTTGATTTCTACAAGGTGTGAACTTCTTTACAGCCACAAGAGGGAGACAAATACCTACAATCTGTAATTTGACTGGAATGCACTAGTCTATATATATATATATATATATAAACATATAATCACTTGTAAGCAGTGTATTTATGTTATTAGTTTGGAGAGAAGAGGTAGTGAGTATTTAAATTTTAGTTCTTTGCAGTTTTCATCATTGGTCTGCTGTTGTGCACATGTTGGTTGTGTTGTGTTGAAAGACTTGTTTTTTAATTAATCCACATTTTCTCCCTCTGAAAACCCCCACACGGTTCACATGAGGAGCAGAGAGAGGAGACAGTGTGAGAAAACAGCTCCTCTGAGCTGCCTGGTGGGGCAGATTAAAACCAGATGTGTCCCAGAGGGGAGGAGCCAGTTTGTTGTGTGGGCGGGGCTTCAGGGCTTATTCTAACAGGTAGTTCAGAGAGCAAACAGCCGCAGTCAGTCAGATTCAAGTCTCAGGTCTACAGAATGCTGAGCAGGAAGGGGTCCTCGGCTGGGCCCCGGGGAGAGGACCGCGGCGGGGTCAGGGACCGGCTGCGGGTGGCCTTGGCTGGGCTGCAGGAGCTGCATCTGCTCCGGGACCGGCAGGGCGACATGGTGAGCTGGGCTCTGGGGCTGGACCGGGAGGAACCGGTCTCCTGGGTGCTGTCCGAGCCAGAAGGAGCAGGGGTGATGGGAGCCGAGGAGCAGCGGCTGGAGGCCACCCTGACCTCCCTGAAGCAGCAGCTGGTGAGGAGCTGGTCGTTTTATTTTAATTTGCTGGAGTCAACGTGATGTTTGGGTTTACAGTTAAAACCTTCTGACTGATCAGAACTATAAGTGTAAAGGTGAAGGTTGAATGAATGATCCCGTTTATACGTTGATTTTATGATTTTCACAACTACTTTTATTTTAATGGCTTTTTATTGTCGTCTGTCTAAAACAGGTCTAATGAAAATGAGTCCTTGTGACTCAATGAGACCAACCTGTATAAGTTAAGGTTAATTAAAATAAAAACTACATCTAACCTTCAGCTCATTTAGGAGATGAATTCTGTCTTTTAATTTTTTACTTTTCAACATATTTATTTACTCATTTATTTATTTTCCCATAGAAAAACATTAAAATCACAGATTCCTTCAAAAACTTTGTTCTCCTTGAAATCTGTTTTGTTTTTGTCTTCTTTTGCTGCCATGTTGCTACTTTTATTTAGCTTTTAGCGAGCCTTTTGCTGCTTTTGGCTTTTAGCTGGTTTTGAAACATTAACCCTTTTATTACTTTTAGCTACCATAATACTAGTTAGCTTTTAGTTATTTTTTTGTTACTTTTAGCATTTATTTAGCTAGTCTTTTGCTGCATTTAACCATGTTTTGATACTTTTAGCTGGCATTTTTGACACAGCCAGCCTTTTGCTAGTTATAGCTATCAAAATGCTAGATTTACTTTAGCTTTTACTTCGCCTTTGAGTACTTTAGCTTTAAGCTAGCCTTTTGCTACCTTTAGCTTTTAGCTGGTGTTTTGAAGCATTAGCCAGCCTTTGGCTACTTTTAGCTTTTAGCTGTCTTTCTGCTGCATTTAGATTTTAGAATTTGCCTTTTGCTACGTTTGGCTTTTAGTTGGTGTTTTGAAACTTTTTTTTTTTTTTGCTTTTACCTATCATAATTCAAGACTTAACTTTTAATTATTATTTCTTTACTTTTAGCATTTAGCTAGTCTTTTGCTACTTTTATTCTTTAATTACAGTAGCCTTGCTGCATTTAGCCAGTTTTGATACTTTTAGCTGATGTTTTTGATTCATTAGCTAGCTTTTCTCTATTTTTAGTTATCAAAATGCTAGCTTTAGCTTTTAGTTAGCATTTTGTTCCTTTTGGCTTTTACCTAGTCTAAAATGTTCAACCAACTAAAATCTAAATGCAAGTTAAAGTTTCAAAACATTAACTAAAACTATATAAATGCTGGCCAAAATCTAACGGTAGCCAAAGAATTTCTAAAAGTAGAAAGACAGCTAATATCGCTGAAGAGCCATGTTGTTTCTAGCCGTTTAACTTTTTTTAAATAAAACTTTTTGTACGTCTTCGATCTCCCGTCAGCTGATCCTCTCACTCGGTCTGTAATAATTACCAGAAACCTCCTGTGCTCAGCGGGGGGTAGGAAGTCGTGTCATAAATCAGGTTCATTGCAGGGCCCCGAGGAGCGTTTATGTGCGCGTGCACGTTTTTGTGCACGAGGGCTTTAAGAGTGGGGGGTGAAACCTCAATCATTAACTCCTAAATGTCAGGAAATAAAAGCCAAATGTTCCGCTCCGAGCGGCTCCGTGAACATGGAGGCCTGGGCCGCTGGTGGAACCGTTTGGAGATGGAGCAGAACCGACACGACAGAAACACGAGGCTTAAATTAGCTTAGCAGGTCTGTTGGGGATAAACATCCTGTCCGTGGTGGGCGATGATGTAACCGCCCGTGTTTGTGTTTCTGTACGAATGCTGTTAGCAAAATATCGTTAACTGTCCTTACAGAAGGTGCTCTTTTACGATGCTCCGAAAACGGCTGCAGCTCAGTCAGATTTGCGGATAACAAGCTAAAGTTTTGTGTGGTGGTAGCCGAGACTCGTTCCCAACACACACGAGTGTTCAGCGTAAGGTTCGTTTTTTTCTGAAGAGAATGAATAAACAAGCGGAGCAGTCACGAGCAGCAGACCCCTGTAACCCTTCATGTCCTTCGGCTGTAAACCCACCCAACCCCCAGCGTGGAGCTAGTTTACACTCAGGCTCTCCCTGTGGGGGAGAAAGGAGTTACCCACCACCACTTCCTCTCCCCCTCCATGTCCTGCTGGGGTTAATCATCAGCCACAGCTGAGCCGCTCTCCTTGATGGCCGGAGCGTTTCTTTTATCAAAGATAACGTCCTTCATTCTAATAAATATCTTATCTTTAACCAGAGAAATTGCATTTTCTGCAAAAATGCAGTGTGAATGCTTAAAGCAGACAAACTTGCTGAGAAACAGCTGAAATGAGCTAAAAACAAAATGCTGAAATGGAAGAACAAGCCTAAATTAGCAAAGGAAACCAGACACATGTTGAATTAGGATTAAATGAGCAGAAAGAGCACAAAAATTAGGAAATCAGCTAAAAAAGCTGAAATTAACAAAGAAAATGGCTGGAAAGTAGCTGAAAGGCAAAAACATGCTTAAAGAAGAAATAGCTGAAATTAGCTAAAAATGTGGAATTAGCTTAAAAAGCCAAACTTAGCATAAAAAAGATAAATGGTAGCTAAAAGAGCAGAAAAAGCTGAAACTAGCATAATTAAGATGAAAGGAGCATAACAAGCAGAAATTATCAGAAAGGAGTTAATTACTGGTAGTCTGAAAGTAGCAAAAATTACTACAAAACACTTGTATATGAAAATAGACAAAAATAGCTAGAAAATGTAGCTGAACTGGTAGAAGAAGCTTAAATTAGCATAAGAAAGCTGAAAGAACACGTTTGCCCAATTAGACTGAAGGAAGCAGAAAAGAGCATAAAAAGCTGAAATTATCTGAAAAAAGCTGAATTTAGCAACAAAAACTGCCGAAAAGTAGCCATTACCAGAAGGACGTGGAGAGAGCATATTTTTGCTAATTTAGACTGAAAAAAGTTAAAATGTGTGGAAAAAATGTGGAATTTGCTGAAAACACTAAATTTAGCTTGAAAACAGCTAAGTAGCAGCTGAAATAGCAGAAAAAGCTGAAACTTGCATGGATAAGCTGAAATAAGCAGAACGAGGTTAGACGAAGCACAAAAATGTTGTAGTTATCAGAAAGAATCTGAAAGGAGCCCAAAACAGCTGAAATCAGCTGAAAGTATCTGAAAACAGTTTAAATTTGCAGCAGGAAGCTGAAAGAAGCTGAAGCAGAACTAAATGTGAAAGGAGCAGTAAAAGGTTGTAAACAGAGCTAAAGATATGAAGGATGGAAAATGAGCTCAGTTCATTTTTATGAGAAAAAAAATGGCAGAAAAGGCTAAATATTTCAAAACGTTAAAGTTGCACAAACACCAAAAGTCACAGCAGGTTGTCCTGAAAGAGCTGAACATTTTATGATTTGTTGAAATAGATGAAAGCTACGAGACGAGAACTGCACTGAAAAATGTACGGAATAAAAATGGATGACAGAGAGAATGCTTCATAAACATTCAGACATTAATAAACGCTCAGATGTGTTGTTGTGCGTTTTGTCCACATGTGAGTTCAGAGCTGCAACACCTGAACTCCACAGGTTCTGAGTGAAACCTCTTTCTTTCCTTTAGTCTCGTCTTCGGAAACAAGACGTCGGCCTGAAGACTCACCTGCAGCAGCTGGACCAGCAGATCCACGAGCTGAAGCTGGACGTGAGCAAGGCCTCCTCAGAGCAGCCCGAGAGCGACAGCAGGCCCAGTTCAGGTGCGTAGGCGGAGCTGCCGGGCCGTCTCAGGTACCGCCCACTCCACGCTCACCTTAAGTCGTTTCCCCGCCCTCTCCAGGTTTCTACGAGCTCAGCGACGGCGGCTCCTGCTCCCGATCCAACTCCTGCACCTCCGTCTACAGCGAGAGTCTCACGTCCTCCCAAACGAGCCTCGTCCCCATGAGTCCTGGTTGTCATGGCAACCCCCCGCCGCCGTTCGACCTGAGCCGCCGGCGCTCTGCGGACGAGAACCCACTGCGGCCCGCGGGCCTTCATCTGGGCAGCAGCAGGATTCGAGCAAACGTTACGAGCGCCGAACACGCACGACCCAGACCTGTGTCAACAGGTAGCTAAAGACATTTTACCTCCTGACAGCCGAATGGCAGCTGAAGAAATTAAAACAGAGTCATTAAAGCTAAAAGAAGCAAAACACTAGCTAAAAGCTAACAGTAGAAAAATGTTAGCTAAATAATTCAAAACACTAGCTGGAAGTTCAAAAGGCTAGGTTAAAGATAAAAGTAGCAATGGGCTAACTAATAGTTACAAAATGCCAGCTAAAAGTAAAGATAGCTAAAGATAGCTAATAAAGTAGAATAAGGCTTGCTTAAGGCTAAAAGTAACAAAAAAGGCTAGCTAGACATTAAGGTAGCCAAAAGCTAACCAAAGTTTTCCCAAAGCAGGTATAAAACTAAAGTAGCAAAAAGCTAGCTAAAAAAATTCTAAAGGCTGGCTAAAAGCTTAAGTAGAAAACACTGGCTGAAAGTAAAAAGTAGCTATAGGTTAGCTAGAAGTTACAAAATGCTAGCTGAAATTTAAAAAGCAAACAAGTTGCTAAATGCTAATGTAAGGTTAGCTAAAGGTTGCTGAACTGTACCTAAAACTATAAATAGCATAAGAAGGCAAAAGTTAAAAAAACAAAACTTTTTTTGTAGGTTATTGTATTTTTTACGGGAAACACATAAATACAGTATATAATATTGAAAAGTATAAAACTTAAACTGTAGTGCCCACCTCGTGAATGAGCTGAACGTTTTATTTATGAACAGCTTAAACAGTAAAGAGTCATAATAATAAACGAAAACAATCAGCATTCACACTATATTATCTTAAGCCTCCTATGGAGCAATAAGAACTGTTTCATCTTCTAGAGATGTTGAACATTAATTACTTTTTTTAATTTTTTCATTCATCAGGTGATCTGGACAATATGATGGCTCAAGGACTGGGCTGCTTTAAGTCTGTGGATCCAAAGAAACCCCCAAATTGTCCAAAACAGCCATTTTTCTTTTTGGAGCCCAAATTCCAGCACAGTTTGGAGCCTCACAGTGGGACTGAAGTGTACCGGTACCCCAGCCCCCTTCATGCTGTGGCTCTCCAGAGCCCAATCTTCTTCCAGGGGGGTGAAGCTGGGAATTCTGTACCTTTAGAGGGCCAAGGAGCCCCTGAAAACATTTACGACTTCCTACAAATGGGGTCCAAAACTCTGGGTTACATCGACAAGCTCCTGCACCGCAGCCTGAGCAAAATCCAAACAGAAACAGAGACTATGAAATCAGAAGACCGCTATGAAAGGAAGTCCACTGAAAATGTTCATGGATTGTCTCAGAAATGTGTGTCCATGCTGTCGCCTTCACAAGTCAAGACCAACAACGTTACTCCACTAAGCAATGACCAGAACAGGTGTTGCACGGCCACTTATGGCCAAGAAACAACATTCCGGATGAACCAGAAACCGACATTTGAAGCACCAGATGGTCTCAACCAATACTCTGCAACTACCAAGGACTACAGGCCGGATGAGGTCACCCGTTTATCCTCTAAGAAAACCTATAAACCCCAAGGAGAAAACACAAAAACAGCAAGGAGCCACTCTGATAAAAAATGTAATTTAGAGCAACAAGACATGAAGCTAAACCCAGGAATTGTCCAAGGCTTTGATGTTCTCACAGGCTCACCCGAGTTTGTGCATGCCAGGTTTGTCCCTGCTGGATCCCAGAGGGTCAAGATGAGACAAGCAGACCGTAAAACCAAAGCTGTGAAGCCAAAGCCAAAAAGCAGCATGAAGCCTCGCGTGGTGAAACACCAACACAGCTTCTCCGGAGAAAGGACCGGTGCTGAAGCGAAGGGGGAGCGCAGAAAACCAGGAAAGGGGAAAGTGATGAACAGAGTGAACACCTTTAAGGAAGTCGGAGAGAGTTCAGACTTCGACTCTGTTTTCCACAGTCCAGGGTTCATGGTTACCCACAAAGTGCAATCTAAAACCAGTTCTGTCCCTGCTTTTCCAAAGTTTGGCAAAGGTTGTAGACCACAATGCCTGGACTACGAATACCCCACAGAGCAGAGGAGGAGGAGACAGTCTTCTTCCAAATGGCAGTCTGACATGGACATTTTCCATGCCCCCTGCGTCCAGAAGTCAAAGGAGCCTCGTGTCCAGGCGTCAGAGAGCTTACAGATGGTCTGCAGTATCGGAGCCAAGTCAGGGCAGTGGATGGGGGCCCAACGGCCTTTCCAGGTTCCAGTGTTCTCCAATTCGTTTCTCCACAGTCTGAACTCCAGATACCCTCCAGCACCTGTTCACTCATCCAGTCTGTACCCACCCAGGTGCGAATCCGAGTACTCGGCCGAATGCGCCTCGCTGTTTCACTCCACCATCCACGAAAGTAGCGAGGGAGAGACAAGCGACAACACCACCAACCGCTTCGGGGACAGTGAGCCCAGCCAGAGCCTGCAGTCCTACTCGGACTCCGACAGCAGTCTGTCGCTGGAGGAGACGGAGCTCCACGAAGAGGAGAGAGGTTTGGTGTGGGCTAAAGCCTCGTTTGGGCCCACCGCGGCTGAACAGCCCCTACAACAGCTCCGACCACGCCCTGAAGCATCAACTTGCCGCATCAAAGCGTCTCGCGCCCTGAAAAAGAAAATTCGCCGGTTCCAGCCGGCCTCTTTGAAAGTCATGACCCTGGTATAAAAAAAAACCAACTAAACTCTGGGAACCCTGGGGACATCTTTGAAAACCTGTTTTTACAAATCTGATATGGTCTCTCAGAACAAAGATCTTCAACTGAACTGGCTTTTTGTGTCATTTAAACAAAAACAAGTAAAGGTCTTACAATCCTGGAAGAAATGTTTAGCCACCTTTCACGTCAGAGTTCTTCACTGAAATCAGACAAAAACTTTGGTCAAACTTTGTACGTGACATCCTGCCAGATCTTATATGTCCGCTCTCGGAGTATGTCTTGGGGATTTCCACTGCTACCACTCCAAACCCAAGCTCAATATTAGTCAAAGCAAGTTATAGCCAATTTCATTTTGGCTAACGTTGATTAGCTGTGGTGGCCATCTTGAATTAGGTAGAATCAGTCATAGTGGTACATCCAGTGTTTACTTTCTGAACGTTTTCTTAAAATCCATCTAGTGGTTTAATGAGATATTTTGCTAACACGCATTTGACTCGAGTGGCCAGAAGTTAGCACATAGAGTATTTGTTGGGAATCAGTCTCAGCTACTACCACGCCAAATTTTAGTTCTGTGTCTGTAGAACTGAGCAAACTTTACCTGTTTTTGTGTTTTTAATAACAATTTATTTGTGTTGACTCCGTTTTAATTGGTTGAAAATGTTCACCCAATGATCATTTTCTGAGTTTTTTGTTTTTCCCCCAAAATCTGCCTGCTGGTTCAAGATATTTTGCTAACATGAACACACAGCGGCTGATGACAATGAATAAATGTTGGTAAGTAAACAAAATAAAGTGTGTAAATGTATGTATGATCATTTATACTTTTTGTTGTAATACTTATTGTTGTAATTAAAGTGTAAAGTGTTAAACTGAGTTGGACAAATATCCAACATTTTTGCATTTCCTTTGACAAATATGGTTTTCATTACAATTTCATTTTAGTCCCTTACTGTAATTGTTAAAGTTTTGACTTATTAGAATAAATTGATATTTAATGTATTCGGAGTGTTTTCGGAGTTTTTATGCTTCCAGCTTGTCGTATATGGATGAATGTGTTGGTGCCCTTCCACAAAAATCAGAAAAACCCAACTGATGTTTTTCGGCCAAAAACTCCAGTTTTGTGTAATCAGTCTTAAAAAATGTAGTTTATCTCATATTGTAGTTTGCTGAATTCCCATCAGACTTTTTTTTTTCTGCCTAGTGAAGCCTCCTGGGTCTATTTCTTTTATTTTAATTTAAAATGTGACAGATCTGAAAATTTTAAATATGGAATTAAGCGTGAACACTTGCAGTGTCTCCAGACAGCTCTGAGCGCGCACACGTTTGAGACATAATGAATAAAAAAGCTTAGCTAGAGTAAAAAAAAAAACAACAAAAAAACGAGCGAAATGTTTGATGTGTATTATTCACAGTAATCATGTTATGTCAATTACTTTATGAATCTTGACACATGCATCATCACTAGACAAAAGAAGGTGAAGTGTTGTACAAGGCCTGCTACAGACTGCTGTGTTCCTGTACGGGCATACAACGTGCCGCTCGCAGTACTCTGGTTCAGTAATTGTTTAACATGTTTTAAACCTGGACATTTGCTTCTGATGTTTCCATCAGAGCTCCAGCGGTTTAAATACAGCTCTGGTGCTCTTGAGATGCGTTGGAGACACTTGCAATGACTTTGGGACACTTTGAGAGAAAGGTTGTCCCACAAGTTCAGGTTGTAAAGTATCCACAGCCCAGACAGACACCACTGTTAACGATGGCCATTTAATAAAAACTTTTCGGCTGCTCCCTTCGTCAGGGAGTTTACCACAGCAAACCAACTTGCTCGAAGAGTTGACTATTGTTTTTACACCAGGTGGCCTTCCTGACACAACCACACATCGCCTTGTGTGGAGCAGAGGGGTGGGGGGGGGGGGGGGGGGGGCAAGGGGGGGGAAGGGGGGGGGGGGGGGGGGGGGGGTGCTCAAGGTGGAGAAATGAGGGTGGAGGCAATGTGGGTGTATCACCTATCACACCCATAATTGATGTCGGTCCAGGGAGTCGAACTGGCAACCTTCCAACCACAGGCTGCCCTTCTCTAGCCTCTGTGCCACCACTATAATTATACTGTTATATTATAAATATACAGATTCATGCTCAATAATCCAGGTAGAAAAATCAACAACGTTAAGTCGGGGCCTCTGGACGGTTTCTTTTTGTTGAGACGTTTCGTCCTTCATCCAAAAGACTTCATCAGTCCAAGGAGCCACAACTAATTCAATCTTATAAATGGCACCTGCACATAGTGGGTGATGGTGCTCAGAAGGTTTCTGGAGTCCACCCTCTCCCCTGACGACTCATTTGAGGCAGTCGTGGCCAAAGCGGTTCAAAATATCATGATACACCCTCCGCCTCAAACGAGTTGGCCGGGGAGAGGGCGGACTCCAGAAACCATCAGAGCACCATCAAACTGGTTGAACCAGTTAATATTTTATTTATTTATTTATTAACCTTTATTTCATCAGGCAAATCCCACTGAGATCACAGATCTCTTCTGCCAGTGAGGTCTGGGCCTGGAGGCAGACTAACGTGCATGTTTTTAGTCTGTGGGAGGAAACCGGAGGAGAAAACCCACGCAAGCACGAGAAGAACATGCAAACTCCACACAGAAAGACCTCAGGTCCAATCGGGGATTGAACCCAGGACCTTCTTGCTGTGAGGCAACACTGTTAACCACTGATCCACCATCCTGCCAAATATAATAATAATAATAATGATAATGAGTAAAAATTCTTTGTTGAGCCTCACAAACATCTCGAGGAGCAGAGAACCTTCACACAACTCTCACATGATTTCCTCGACCTTCGGCCGTTTGGTTTAACGAGCTGCAGCCTCAACAATCGGCCCAGACAGTCGTGTTTAATTAGCGGGCGAGACTTATCAGCAGCCCTCATCGTTAGTCTGTAAGTCAACAGCAGGACTGGAGGCTGAAACACACCCACCGCCAGTTTCACAAACGCATTAAACTGATGACGGTTCAGGTTTCTGCAGGGCCTGAAGCAGCTGGTGAGCGCTGCCAGGGGCCACAGAGGATTCAGGACGGTAAGAGGCTGCTCCTTTCTGAGGTGGGACGCTCCGACACGGCCACCCAGTAATCTGTGGTCTAAAACAGCGTCTTACATCAAAACGTCTTTCACTTGCAAAATGTGAGCAGCCTGGAAACTGGACCTCAATCCAAACATCAGTTCACCAGTGCAAATAAAAAAAGAATGAGCTCTCCCACCAGGAAGACATTACAAAACTTTAGTTACTCCCAATAAAACTGAACTATCTGACAAAGAGTAAGTACGCTCAATCATCCAGGCAAATAAATCACAAGTTAAATTGTATCATTGGACAGATTATTTGCGTAAGAAACGTTTCATCTTCCATCCGAAAGACTTCGTCTGAGCCCTGCCAAGAGACGACGCAATTTAACTTTGCTAAATTTAAATAAAGCTAAAAAAAAATAAAAATGTTTGTAATTTATTCGACATGAGAGCAGCAACAGAAATAAATCCATGCACAGCGGGGCTGTTTGTTGGTTGTTACAAACGTGTTTGAGAATTCAGATCACGTGTCAAACTGAAAACCTGCAGGCCGGGTAAGATCGCATCGATCACTTCGCGTGTTTAAAAAAAAAAACGAAGCTGAAAGCAGATTCCTGGTGGAGATTAAACAGAGTTGTAGTTATTTCTGTGCTTTTTGAGCAAAGATCTAAAAAGTGCTCAGACTGTGTGTTGAGCATCAGTCTCATCGACTACCACACCAAACCTAGTCGTATCGTAGTTCCTTCAACAAACTCACCACAGCCTGAAGTTCTCACCGCTGGTCTGGCTGCATCTGCAGTCTCTCCAGTGACCTCTCCACCTGCTGCCACGGCCTCACCGCTGGTCTCCTCAACTCTCTTCAGCCTGAGTCAAAGAGGGTCCACGTGCCCAAGGATGGACGGTCTCCAGGCCGCCCGCCGGAACTCTTGCCTCATTCGGAATGGTCCCCGGGCCGTCCAACTGAACTCTGGGGGTTGGGGGTCTGTATTTGTGGTACCCAGTTTCCTACCTGCCGTTTTGTTTTTTTTCTGGTCCTTCCGTTTTCTTTCTTCACTTCACTCTCACACTGCAGGTTTACTTGTGGTTCCCAGAGTTTACAAAAGCAGAATGAGAGGAAGATCTTTCAGTTCTCAGGCTCCTCTCTTGTGGAACCAACTTCCAGTTTCTGTCCGTGAGGCTGACACCTTGTCCAGTTTTAAAAAACTTCCCTTTTTGATAAATCCTATAGTTAGGGTCAACTTGGGTTTCCTGAGCTGTCCCTTAGTTCTGCTGCTATAGGCTTAGACCGCTGGAGGACAAACTGACCACAAGTTTCTCTCTGCTACTGTCTTTACTTACTCTGCTCAACCTGCTTTGTATTTGTAATTATTTTTTATATCCTTAACATGTTTTTTTTGTCTTTCAGGTACACCTGGATCTATACCTGGACCTATATCTGGACCTGGACCTATATCTGGACCCAGACCTATACCTGGACCTATATCTGGACCTGGACCTATACATGGACCTGGACCTATATCTGGACCTGGACCTATATCTGGACCCAGACCTATATCTGGACCCAGACCTATACCTGGACCTATACCTGGACCTATATCTGGACCTGGACCTATATCTGGACCCAGACCTATACCTGGACCTATATCTGGACCTGGACCTATACATGGACCTGGACCTATATCTGGACCCAGACCTATTTCTGGACCTGGACCTATACCTGGACCTATATCTGGACCCAGACCTATATCTAGACCTGGACCTATATCTGGACCCAGACCTATATCTGAACTCAGACCTATATCTGAACCTGGACCTATATCTGGACCTACCATTCTGTGTTCGTCTGTCTCTCCTTCCTGTCCTCTCAACCAGCCGGTCAAAGCAGATGGTCTCTTGTCCTGAGCTGGTTCTGCTGGAGGTTTCTTCCTTTTAAAGGGAGTTTTTCTTTCCACTGTCACCACTGTGCTTGTTCAGGATGGGAGACTGCAACGAAGCCAAGACTCAACTTGTCTGCTGGATTCCTTAGATAGAGAACTTTACTAATTGGCTTTTATGTGATTGTTCCTGTGAAGTCCCTGAGACAACTTTGTTCTGATTTGGTGCTTTATAAATAAACTGAATTGAATTGAATTATTTTTGTGCCTTTTGTCATGTTAAAACCTTGGGTCAATATT